GAGGCAAAGCCAGCACAAGTCAAACACAGCCCTGGCCAATCAGCATCTTCTCATAAAGATGCATTGAATCAATGTATCTCTATGAGGAAAGTTGTGTTTGCATGCAGAGGGTGGAGACACTGAATGGTGGTACTGCACATTGTGCCACACTGCCACAGGTAGCACCTCTAGCATCCATCTGAGGAGTGGCCAGTAGAGGTATCCCTAGGCTGCAATGTAAACGTTGCATTTTCTCTAAAAACAGTGTTTACTGCAAAAAGCCTGGATGGAATGCTTCTACTCACCAGAACAAATACAATAAGCCAGGGGTAGGCAACCTACGGCACTAGTGCCATGCACGGCACTCCAGGTGTCTTTGCACGGCACTCAAGGCTGCTAGAGTCAAACAGGCTCTGTCCTATCAGGAGTCTCAGTAAAACTTCAGATATCTGCTAATATGAAGAGGTGGTGAAGGACAATCCTCAATTTATGCATTGCAGTACGTAGAGGAAGTGATCTCAGGTCACTTCCTCCCAGCACTTGTGAATGGGAATCCACACTGGAGTAGAGCAGCCTGCAGCGGATATTGCAGCTCCTGTCCTTGACCTGTACCTGGCCAGCCTGGTCTCCACTGGAACCCAGGGAAGCCACACACACTGCAAGATATACATGGAGCTGCAGAATAAGCCTCCCCTCATACAAATAATACGAACAGCCCACACACAAACATACACACAATCCGTACAAACATAACACCACTAACAATCCACATACATGCACACAATCCCACATGCAGCCTCTCACATGCAATACCCCAAACAGCCCCACAAAAATACACACACTACTAATCACACAATGTGACATATCCATCCACACACACAATTCCACAAGCAGCGCCCATACACAGCCCACATTCATATGTATCATACACGATACCATAAACTACTAATGAATATATACAATATAATAGCTCATATACGCACAAATACAATGATACAAAGCAATTACAGTATAAATAAAAACAGCAGAATACAGCAGCATACACACCTCAATTTAAAAAAAATGGGATCGGCTCGCTACGGAACATTACAATCCCATATCGGCACAGTGCTGCTAAAAGGTTGCCTACCCCTGCAATAAGCTGTAGTAGTTCTTGTTACTATAGTGTCCCTAGCCCCTTAAGGATGTGTGACAGAAGTTTGGTCCTTAAGGGGTTAAATCACTTTTGTTTCTGTTTAGGCTGTTGTAGCCACACCTCCCATGACTGTGACTCATGCAGCCTGTGTGTAAAAAATGTTTTCATTATTAATCAGATGTAACTTACATTAGATATTTATCCCCTGCTCTGTAAATTGAACTTTAATTACGCACACAAGCCTCTTGCAAGGTTTAGCAAGGTATTAATAGTGCATGAGATAAGAAATTCTAAATTAAACAGACTGTGCAATAAAGGAAATGTAAACATTAGATCTCACTTTTCAGGAAGTGTTAGGAAGGCTGTGTAAGTCACAGGCAGGGAGGTGTGATTTAGGTTGCATAAATATTTATTAACTTATAAGTGGTAGAGAATTGAGCCGTGAGACTGCAGGGGCATGATATATACTGCTTCATCAAGCTAAAGTTGTTTTGGTGATTATAGTGCCAATTTTACCTTGCAATGTAAAACATTGCTGTTGTATAAAAACTGTAATGTTTCAATTGCTGGGTTAACAAGGAATGGCGTGACCATCTGTTGACAGCTGTGCGTGATGTAATCAGTCACTTATGCCTGTGTGCTCGACTTTTCCATGGATGTTTGTTCGTAGTTTGTGATGCCATCTCTTGATCTGTTACTCCTTGAGTCTTTACCAGAAGTGTTGGATGCGCAGATGACTGACAAACACCAGGCAGCATCCACCAACCTGCCCACAAGTTGCTTAATACCCTATAGCAGGGTTTTTTCTCTGGGTGCAGATTTGGGTACAACTGTCAAGAATGGCTGTCCGGCATAGTTTTGACGGCAAGATGAATTTAGTCTTAGTCATAGTCTTTTGACTAAAAAGCCATTTTAGTTTGTCATATTTTAGTCATCTGAATTGTTTTAGTTTACTAAATTTGAAAAAATTGTTAGTCGACAAAATTAACCCTGGTCTGGCAATGCTTTTCACTGTCTGTGTCCAGCTTTCGCAGTCACACGCAGTAGGGATCGACCGATATTGATTTTTTTTAGAGCCGATACCGATATTTTGTGAACTTTCAGGCCGATAGCCGATATAATTTGCCGATATTCTGTACATTTACCATTTTGGAAAATAAAAACTATTTCTAAAGGTAAATGCACAAAATATACATGCCACGTGTAGTGGATGCAGTGTGTTTAAAAAGGGGAGCTGTATGTGTTTGTGTAGTGTGTGTAGTAGTGTGTGTAGTGGATGCAGTGTGTGTAGTGTGTTTGTGTAGTGGATGCAGTGTGTGTTTGTGTAGTGTGTGTGTGTGTGTGTGGATGCAGTGTGTGTTTATGCAGTGTGTATATAATGAAAGCAGAGTGTTTGTGTAGTGTGTGGGTAGTGTGCGTAAAGTGAATGCAGTATATACTAAAAGTAAAGTGTGTGTTTGTGTAGTGTGTGTATATAATGAATGTAGTGTGTTTATATAATGCAGAGTGTGTGTGTTTGTATAGTGTGTATATAATGCAGTGTGTTTGTGTAATGTGCATTATATAAACACACTATGCAAACACACTGCATTATATTGCACACACACTGCATTATATACACACACTGCATTATATACACACACACTGCATTATATACTACACACACTGCATTATATACGCACACTACACACACTGCATTATATACGCACACTACACACACTGCATTATATATACGCACACTACACACACTGCATTATATATACGCACACTACACACACTGCATTATATATACGCACACTACACACACTGCATTATATATACGCACACTACACACACTGCATTATATACACGCACACTACACACTGCATTATATACAGTGTGTTTGCGTAGTGTGTGTGTATATAATGCAGTGTGTGTGTGTAGTGTGCATTATATAAACACACTATACAAACACACTGCATTATATACACAGTGTGTTTGTGTAGTGTGTGCATATAATGGAGTGTGTGTGTGAGGGGGCATTTTTTATTAAATTTTTTTTTTAATATTTAATTATTTTTGTTGTCCCCCCTCCCTGTTTCATACTTGGCCAGGGAGGGGGGGATATAGCAGTCCCTGGTGGTCCAGTGGCATTGGCTGAGCTGGGGGGGGGCGGGTAGCAAGCGCTTACTCACCTCCCAGCAGCTCCTCTAGCTCCCCAGTGTAACTCTCGCGGCCAGCGTGTCGCGCGGAGCGTTGCCATGGTGACCCATGACAGCGCTCTGACGGCCGCAGGTCTCGCGAGAGTTGCACTGGGGAACTGGAGGAGCTGCTGGGAGGTGAGTAAGCGCTTGCTATCTGCCCGCCCCAGGACCGCCGGGCTTGTTATGAGCCTGGCGGTCCTAGGAGGTATTATTGGCAATATCGGTATCTGAATTGGCCGATACCGATATTGCAGAAAATACTGAATATCGGCCGATTATATCGGTAAAACCGATCATCGGTCGATCCGTAACACGCAGTACCTTATGGACCTGGACATGCAGATAAAAATGCATTGATCTAAGGCAGCAGTCATGCAATTTGCATTTAATTCTAGTAAAATGTTAAATTTCTTATCATTGTTATCCCCTGGGATGCCAAGATGAATATGGTTTTAAAAGGACAACCAGAATAACCATCTCTGTAAAGGAAGAAACCTGTGAATCGTGCAATCATCAGGCTTGGGTATGGACATTATTGTTCCAGTGGTAATAAACTGTCCACTTACACAAGAACAAATAGCAACTGAAAATGATCTAATAATCTGTCTTCCTTTTAATTAAAACAGTTTATTATTGACTCACAGAATGTGCTGGATTGTGTTATTTGGCTCGTAGGCAGAAGGCTTGATATGCCACATGTTCTTAACTCTCTCCGTACTGGTGACTGTGTCCAAAAACATGACCAAAATCTGGAAGCATGTGTTTCCCTTACCCACTTGTCCCTGCTCTGACTTTGCCGATATGGTATGAGCGAAATGTTCTACAATGGCAAACTCCCCACTTGTGGGCTCGTCCATGACAATTACCACAGTGTTCGTATCTGACCTTTGTACTGATGTTCCTGTAAAGAGTGCTGCCTGTGTCTCTGTCATGGAGGCCAAAACAGGTCAAATTAAGAATTCTATAAACTGCGAACTACGAATAGTAGAATAGAAAATTGCATTTTCTACATAAAAATTATTTATGAAAAGCGCTGTTCGGTGGAAACGTTCCCACGAACAAGGGGATCAAGCTCCAGGGTAAGACTATTACTGTGTTCAGTAGTTTGTTAGTTTTTAAACTACTGGAGGTACCTGGTACACCCCCTCCTCTCTACATCCAGTCCTCCCTGCGTGGCTCTCTCTAGTAGGTGGGAGGAAGTCATTTGCCCTTACTTCCTTCCAGCAGCATCTGACCAGTGATGCTGTTAATGGGTTGCAGTGGCTGGGACAGAATTACCAACAGTTCAGGGCGCTGGGACAACACTTGGAAACACGGATAATCCTGGTCAAACAGAGACATCTGCTAACCCTGCTATCTATTAGAAACTTCGGACAATGTCTCTATTAGAAAGTGCCCAGCACATACTGATAACTAAGTTATAGTCCTAGCTCCACAAGCTACATGGTACATTTGTAGGGCAAATATGGTAAATTTTTGTCAATTTTTTTTTAATGATTATGTGCATTTATGGAAATAGATTTTCATGGTCTTATTGAACAAATCCTTTCATAGTTATCTTTCTGGAAAGTAAGAGGTAGACGTTGTTCCACCTTGCAGGCTGTATGTATACGTCACAGGTAGTGATGTCCCGAACGGTTTGCCGCGAATGGTTCGCCACGGACTCATCATTGAATAAACTTTGACCCTGTACCTCACAGTCAGCAGACACATTCCAGCCAATCAGCAGCAGACCCTCCCTCCAAGACCCTCCCACCTCCTGGACAGCATCCATTGTGAAGCTGCATTCTTAGTGAGCTGTCCAGGAGGTGGGAGGGTCTGGGAGGGAGGGTCTGCTGCTGATTGGCTGGAATGTGTCTGCTGACTGTGAGGTACAGGGTCAAAGTTTACTCAATGATGAGTCTGCGGCGAACCGTTCGGGACATCACTAGTCACAGGATTTCTATAAACAATGATTGAAGTATTTTGATGCAGAATATACACCGGGGTTCCCACCTGTATACTATGACTGTATGTTGTATTACTATCGTAAAAAAAAAACTTCATGAAAAAATCTGTCACGAAAGAATATACACCAGGAAAGCGTGCCCCTCTTCATACTCCCTTCCTGTATGACTTGTTCCTCTAAAGGACTTTATTGGCCTTCCATTTCGCAGTTCACTTGTCTGTCCTCTGCAGTTTCCTGTTAGAGAATGAACCATAATGTGTATAGTGCTTGTAAGTAAATAAAATATACCGGTGTCATTTGTTAACACAGTATATAGACTGGTTCATGCTGTAATGACCACCTGACCATACTGTTAGTCAGAGTTCACAAGACGTGCCATTCCTAGTGATTGGTGTAAATGGTGTGACGGGCAGAATGGAGACTGGGGCAGGCTGACTTGGTGGAACCGTGTGAGAGTGACAGAATACTGGCTACAGAACAATAGCAATCTGTTCACATGTTCAGGGTTCAGTTCTCAAAATTTGGGATGTAGCCTGTTCTTCTTTAAAAGCCATCTGTTACAAAGTGTTAAAGTGTCAGACTGCACTCTCTTAATGAGGATCTGTGTTTAATTGGGACATCTCAACTGTCAGATGAACAAAGAATATTCGTTTCTCCAGGGGATTGTGTCAGGGAATGAAAGGCCTGTGTTTGGCGTTTACTGTGCAGTGTGATATGGAAAAACTGTATATAGAGAGGAAAGCAGCAAGCTTCAGCCAGAGAGAGAGAGCTCCAATCTCTTCAATAGAGAGCTCCAATCTCCTCAATAGAGAGCTCCAATCTCCTCAATAGAGAGCTCCAATCTCTTCAATAGAGAGCTCCAATCTCCTCAATAGAGAGCTCCAATCTCTTCAATAGAGAGCTCCAATCTCTTCAACAGAGAGCTCCAATCTCTTCAACAGAGAGCTCCAATCTCTTCAACAGAGAGCTCCAATCTCTTCAACAGAGAGCTCCAATCTCTTCAACAGAGAGCTCCAATCTCTTCAACAGAGAGCTCCAATCTCTTCAACAGAGAGCTCCAATCTCTGCAATAGAGAGCTCCAATCTCCTCAGCAGAGAGCTCCAGTCTCTGCAACAGAGAGCCCCCACCTGCAAGACTACCCAGCTATAACCCTGCATGTCTTAACCGACCAAGACTAACACAACCCTGCAATCCTGACCAACCAAGACTAACACAACCCTGCAATCCTGACCAACCAAGACTAACACAGCCCTGCAATCCTGACCAACCAAGACTAACACAACCCTGCAATCCTAGCCAACCAAGACTAACACAACCCTGCAATCCTAGCCAACCAAGACTAACACAACCCTGCAATCCTGACCAACCAAGACTAACACAACCCTGCAATCCTGACCAACCAAGACTAACACAACCCTGCAATCCTGACCAACCAAGACTAACACAGCCCTGCAATCCTGACCAACCAAGACTAACACAGCCCTGCAATCCTGACCAACCAAGACTAACACAACCCTGCAATCCTAGCCAACCAAGACTAACACAGCCCTGCAATCCTAGCCAACCAAGACTAACACAGCCCTGCAATCCTGACCAACCAAGACTAACACAACCCTGCAATCCTGACCAACCAAGACTAACACAACCCTGCAATCCTGACCAACCAAGACTAACACAACCCTGCAATCCTGACCAACCAAGACTAACACAACCCTGCAATCCTAGCCAACCAAGACTAACACAACCCTGCAATCCTGACCAACCAAGACTAACACAACCCTGCAATCCTGACCAACCAAGACTAACACAACCCTGCAATCCTGACCAACCAAGACTAACACAACCCTGCAATCCTGACCAACCAAGACTAACACAACCCTGCAATCCTGACCAACCAAGACTAACACAACCCTGCAATCCTAGCCAACCAAGACTAACACAACCCTGCAATCCTGACCAACCAAGACTAACACAACCCTGCAATCCTAGCCAACCAAGACTAACACAACCCTGCAATCCTGACCAACCAAGACTAACACAACCCTGCAATCCTGACCAACCAAGACTAACACAACCCTGCAATCCTGACCAACCAAGACTAACACAACCCTGCAATCCTGACCAACCAAGACTAACACAACCCTGCAATCCTGACCAACCAAGACTAACACAACCCTGCAATCCTAGCCAACCAAGACTAACACAACCCTGCAATCCTGACCAACCAAGACTAACACAACCCTGCAATCCTAGCCAACCAAGACTAACACAACCCTGCAATCCTGACCAACCAAGACTAACACAACCCTGCAATCCTGACCAACCAAGACTAACACAACCCTGCAATCCTAGCCAACCAAGACTAACACAACCCTGCAATCCTGACCAACCAAGACTAACACAACCCTGCAATCCTAGCCAGCCAAGACTAACACAACCCTGCAATCCTGACCAGCCAAGACTAACACAACCCTGCAATCCTGACCAACCAAGACTAACACAACCCTGCAATCCTGACCAACCAAGACTAACACAACCCTGCAATCCTGACCAACCAAGACTAACACAACCCTGGGAGCCTGACCATCCATACATAACTAGAACTTTGCAAGCATAATAACTATAGACTTGCATGCCAAGACTGACTAACTATATACAACCATAACCCTGGTAACCTAACCATCTATACCCTGCATTCCAACCTAACTAGCCATACGTAACCATCAACCTGTGAGCCTAACCATAAACCTGCAAGACTACCATCCATTAAAGGAACACTTCGAGCACCATAACCACTATACTCCTTCAAGGTCCGCTCCCTGCCCCTACTGTAGTCTCATCTCAGCCACTAGATCACTAGTAATCCTGGCAGTGCAGAGCTTAGCTCATTGGCTAAGACCGATCAGCTGGGCTTAGCTCAGCGCACTATAATGGATCTGGTGCTTGGAGTTCCCTAATCTGCACGTCCTACCAGCTACAACCCTGCAAACCAACACAGCTGATAACACTGCCCTATATTTAAAACCTAACCTGCAACTAAACTCAATCTTGACTTGGAATGTTTACTTAAAGGGGCACTATAACCATTTCAACTCATGTAAGGGGTTATAGTAAATACAGATTAAGAAACAGTGCAAATTGCTCACACAATATGATCCTTTTACATTTTATAATGCTACTTAAAATCAAAAAGCAAACAAATATGGGGATTTAGTTCCATCATATGGCCATATTATCTTATCACAGTACCCCAGTATCGGTGGGTCCTACACTCATTCTCACGGGGTAGACAAACTAAATAGTGCTAGCGCTAAATAAATAAACTAAATTAATCTTTTGTAAGAGCATTGTGAAAGTATATAATGCAAAATGAATGTGATAAAAAAACACAATTAAAAAAAAATGCATTGTCAAACCTAAACCATTAAAGTGATAGTACTTTGTATATACTCATAATGCATATCATAAATTTTATATCAAATAAAAATGATTATTACAGTGACATTGCTATCCAAAAGCTTCTCAAATGTATACTTTCCAATGTTTTAAATTTCCAGACCTCCCTACCCAAGATGGTCATTCCCTGCCCTTCCTACCCAGGATGGTTATTATCCAGCCATTCATAGAAACATAGAAACATAGAATGTGACGGCAGATAAGAACCACTCGGCCCATCTAGTCTGCCCAATTTTCTAAAAACTTTCATTAGTCCCTAGCCTTATCTTATAGTTAGGATAGCCTTATGCCTATCCCATGCATGCTTAAACTCCTTTACTGTGTTAACCTCTACCACTTCAGCTGGAAGGCTATTCCATGCATCCACTACCCTCTCAGTAAAGTAATACTTCCTGATATTATTTTTAAACCTTTGTCCTCTAATTTAAGACTATGTCCTCTTGTTGTGGTAGTTTTTCTTCTTTTAAATATAGTCTCCTCCTTTACTGTGTTGATTCCCTTTATATATTTAAATGTTTCTATCATATCCCTCTGTCTCGTCTTTCCTCCAAGCTATACATGTTAAGATCCTTTAACCTTTCCTGGTAAGTTTTATCCCGCAATCCATGAACCAGTTTAGTAGCCCTTCTCTGAACCCTCTCTAAGGTATCAATATCCTTCTGAAGATACGGTCTCCAATACTGTGTACAATACTCCAAGTGAGGTCTCACCAGTGTTCTGTATAATGGCATGAGCACTTCCCTCTTTCTACTGCTAATACCTCTCCCTATACAACCAAGCATTCTGCTACATAGGATGGTCATTATTGTTATGCCATTTATATAGCACCATCAAATTCTGCAGCGCTTTACAATGGGTGGACAAACAGACATGTAGTTGTTACCAGACAAGTTGGACACACAGGAACAGAGGGGTTGAGGGCCCTGCTCAATGAGCTTACATGCTAGAGGGAGTGGGGTAAAATGACACAAAAAGGTAAGCATAGTGTTAGACTAGTGACAGTTGCAGAAGAGGAGTCAGTCGGGAGCTATTAACAGTTTAATTGATACGCTTTTATGAAGAAGTGGGTTTTTAACTATTTTTTGAAGGAGTGGAGACTGGTGAGCATCTAACGGAGGATGGAAGCGAGTTCCACAGGAACGGTTCAGCCCTTGAGAAATCTTGAAGGCGAGCATCAGAGGTGGGAGTACGGACAGAAGATAGACGTAAGTCTTCAGCAGATCGTAAGGGCCTAGACGGGACATACTTGTGTATAAGGGAGGATAGATAGGTGGGAGCAGCATTATGTTGAGATTTGAAAGCAAGAACCAGAATTTTAAATTGAGCTCTATATCTTATAGAAAGCCAATGTAGGGACTGACAGAAGGGGGCATGAGGCATGGGAGGTGCAGGCGGACAGGAAGATGAGCCTCGTCCCCGCATTCATTATGGACTGTAATTTTGCAAGTTGGGAGCA